ACGCCCCTCTTGCTCTGAAAACATGCCCCAGGTTCGAGGATCTTTTAAGCTCAGGGCTCTCAACTGGGACAGCATGCCAAACACGATTTTTAATCAATCATCAACTCAGCGTGAACTCATGAATTAAATGTCAGTAAAAATAAATGAAGTAGATTCAACCTAACCTAAATTAAACTGAATAAGTATTTTAATTATATAATTATTATTTGATTTTATTACTTATTTTTAGCAACATTTACTTAATTCTTAAAGTATAATCAAAAACACTAAGGATAGACTAAATCTTCTTAATTGGTGAGTGAATATACTTTAAGAATTAAATAAATGTTGCTAAAAATTAGGTTGATTCATAAATAAAACTGATTAAATATTTTAATTATACATACACTTGAAGTCAGAAAGATTAGCCCTTCTGAGATTTTTTTTTTCTTATTCAAATATTTCCCAAATGATGCTGAACAGAGCAAGGGAATTTTAACAGTATTTCCTATAATATTTAGATGTCTTTTAATAAGCCTCTAAATGTCGCATTAAACTGAATTCTTGACAAATATCTTGTAAAATATTATGTGCTGTCATCATGAATAATGATAAATCAGTTATTAGAAATGAGTTTTTAAAATTATTATGTTTAGAAATGTGTTAAAAAAATCTTCTCTCCGTTAAACATAAATTGGGTAAAAAATATATATAGGGGGTTAATACAGAACAGTTCTTCTCTCAGGCCATAATGCCTGTTAGCTGTTACATGAAGCACATTTCTGACATATTGAACATTCCAAATGCTTACACAAATTCCCACACATGATAGCTGCTTTTAACACAAATGCCTGTGACAACACCACACGCCTTAAATTGGAATAGTTTTGTTTTCATTCTGACATTCATTCTGACACAAAAATTATTTGCCTCTTTAAGTTAAATATTTTTTTTTCTGATAGTCTACTGAACAAACCATCGTTATACAATAACTTACCTAATTAACCTAGTTAAGCCTTTAAATGTCACTTTAAGCTGTATAGAAGTGTCTTGAAAAAATCAAGTAAAAAAAGTGTTTAAGGTCATCATGGCAAAGATAAAATAAATCAGTTATTAGAAATGAGTTATTAAAACTATTAAATGTGTTGGGGGAAAAAATATTCTCTCCATTAAACAGAAATTGGGGGTCTAATAATTCAGGGGGGCTAAAAATTCTGACTTCAACGGTATATTCAGAATATTTCTTGGTTAAAAACCAAAACTGCAAAATTAAAAAAGGAATCTTGATTGTTCATGTGCTGTAGTGCGAATATTAAAGAACAAAGATTTGAATTACAGCCCATGAATAACCTAGATCAAGTAGTGGTGTAATGCTGATGTAGGCCTATTTAATTAATAAAATTAAGTAAAATATAATAAAGTTAATAATTATACAATTATTTTAAACCGGTTTGCACTTCTTTCTCATGTTGAACACAAAAGAACCTAATTATGTGCAACATTCACAAGACCTGAAATTGGGCTTGCCTTGATCCAAGACTAAACTTGACACTTGAATGGAGGGCTTGCTCATCTATTGTATGTGAGTTCTGACAAATACTTCCCTATGGCGAAATCACACTTGTCAAACCTGAACCAGGTTTGGTTTCATTTTCATTCATTCACAAGGCATTTTCAGAAGTAAACGGACGAACCCAAGAATGATTGAAAGATATGTATTTAAACTGTAACGCCTTTCTAATCTACAAAAATATATATATTGAGTCTAGTCTGTTTTTAAAAAGCTGAACAAAATATGTGCAAACTGCCCATTAAGATATTTTTAAGGGCTATTACTGTCAACATTTCTCAGTGATCCATCTGTAGTAATATTCTGAAATTATCAAATTATGTTGTTGTTATTGTGTAATATGATAATCCTTAATACATTTTAAGAATTTAAATTTGCCAAGATATATTAGGAGCATTAAGTGTTAAAAACCAAGACATGACTTAATGACAAACATAACCATACACTTATGTTTTCATAAATCTTGATTTTTTTTATATATATTTATTTTGTCTACTACATGCATTGGATTTTGATTTTCCACCAGCATTGAGTTACGGTCAGGATTCTGCCACTTTGGTCTTGTCAATTGTTATTTTGGTGGCAGAGTTCAGACACTAGTCCTGTGATGTCTTGTATGTTGTGCTCGGCTTGAGTTTTCTGGAGTTGAGCACTCATTTTCTGTCATTGTGAGCACTGTCGAGGCCGTGCTTGATGCAGGCACGCAAGGTCGGGGCGTGCTCAGGATGCGCGCCTTTGTCCTGGTGTGTGGTGTTTTGTTCTCAGTGCTGCAGTCTAGTTGGTTTTGGTTTTGACTGGCGCTGATTGGTGTCTATTCAGATGTATCGCTGTAACACCCAAGAGGAGAGGAAAAGTCACGCAAGCAAGTCAAATGGGCCACAGTGAGAAAGAGAAATGGAGTTTACTTTATTCTCTCAATCACAGTGAAATAGGGGCTTCTGCTGTTCAGTGTCAGTAAAAGACAGCAAACACACACGCAGTGAAATTGTGCAGTTTCGGTGTTTTTAAGTAGTTGGAGCATTGTAATTACTCGCGCTTGCCTCCCTCGCCATAGTATATATAGTATATATAGCTATGGCAACATAACGCATATGAGATAAATGAGGTCAGTACATAATAACTGGTGATGATTATAACGGAACCGATACCGAATTGTCCGCGTCTGCATCGCGGCCCACTGAAGAAACAATTAATTTTGACACCCCTAGTGCACATGTCTTGCATTATGTTTTTGTTGTCTAAACACATGGCTCGGTGTTTACATTTAGCTCAGCATCAGCACATTCAGAAATAATAGTTTGTTGGCATAAGCTGTCAAACGCCACCTGCCTTTGACAGCAAAAGCCACTATATCCCAAGAACCAATCAGATGTTGCGAATTGAATAATATGTTTCCAAGTAGCGGCACGCTCATACGCCTGCTTTTATGAGGAGACTCTTTCAATTTTGGTTTTAAAACATTAAGTTTGATAAACTGCATGAGCCTGTCCGGCTGTCAGTGAATGGCAAATGAAAACGTCCCTTACCTCAAAACTCTGTGCATTATAAGAAAAAGAAAACTCTGTACAGTCAGAAGTGTTGCATGCATTCATAACGTTTTATTGTGCAGCGACGCTACTTTAAATGAGTCTGATTTACTATACATCAAATAGCAACGGCGTTTCTTTTATTCCACATGGATGCTGTGAGGATTAACAAGAGGCCAAGACCTTGAGTTTGGTGAGAATGAATGAATGACAGCTTCTAAAAGTGTCTGAGAGGCATCCCCTTTTCCCCAGGAGGCCTACTTTGTCTTTTATTTACTAATGTAAGCTATTTTTAAATGATAAATATAATGTATAAAACTATACATTATTCGTATTACTTCATTATACCTAAACGTCTGATAAGCTTTATATATTAATGGACAATGCACAGATATTGATGTTTCACAATGTTTTTACACACATTATTTGAATCTACCAAGCTTAGCTTACAATGTTTGCCATGTTTACATCACTCTACTTACATTAAATCTAAATCACAAATATCAGAAATGACAACAGATTGTTAAGGTTTAATTAATGTCAGTTTTAATGTTATTGATTAAAGCAGTTACTTGACAGATTTCATTTTCATTTTTCTTCTACTTTATCCCTGGTTTATCACAGTAGAATGAACCGCCACTTACTTGACAGATTTATATGTTTTTAATTTCAGGTGGTTTGTGTAATGTGTTTTATGTTTGGTAAAATAATCTCCAATTGCATCTTCAGTTATTTTCAGCTAATTACACTGTCTTGTCCCAATGTGAATTTAGAGGTTTCTGAATAAAAAGCACAAGTGGATTTAGCTGGTTTTAACGCATAAGAAAATCTCCCTTGTTAAAAACCAAAGAATTGTCTAATGTGACATTTAAAAAAAAAAAAAAACTATTTTATTTACTAGCTAATAACCTTATTATTATCTATAAAATGATACTACTGAGCCTAATTATAGGAGCCTAATAGAAAATGCTCATTTACAAAAAAAGACCTCAGATTGATTTAAAGGGTTTTGCATCTGAACTCTTCATATATATATATATATATATATATATATATATATATATATATATAATGAAAGGGTGCAGATTACAGGCTGCAATTTAGAAATATTGATCTCTTAATTACATTATTATAGACTATATTATTTTCCTCTTAGTTGTGTAAATGAGTGACTGAATTACTTGACAATGACACAAGGTACAGCTATAATATTGTTCAGATCATACATTTTAGTTCTTAGGCAAGTTAGCCATGAATGTAAATGATATGTACAACTTAATATGTATTTTAAATATGTATTGTATCAGAATACAAATAATATTTATTTGGAAAAAAATTATTTGCGGTCTGTTTTTTTAAAATATATATTTAAAAAAGTGTTATATATATATATATATATATATATATATATATATATATATATATATATATATAATATAATATTCATTCATTCATTGATTGATTCATATTCTTAGTCCCTTTATTAATCAGGGTTCGCCACAGCAGAATGAACCGCCAACTTTTCCAGCACATGTTTTACACAGCGGATGTCCTTCCAGCTGCAACCCATCACTGGGAAACACACATACTCTCTCATTCACACACATACACTAAAGACAATTCTAGCTTACCCAATTCACCTGTATCGCATGTCTTTGGACTTATGGGGGAAACCACAGCACCCGGAGAAAATCCACGTGAGCACAGGAAGAACATGCAAGCTCCACACAACCGCCAACTGACCCAGCTGAGGCTCGAATCAGCCACCTTCTTACTGAGGCGACAGCACTACCTGCTGCGCCACCGCGTCTCCCCCATAATATAATATAATATAATATAATATAATATAATATAATATAATATAATTTTCCATTTTTTGTAGCGTCTTGTCATAAACCTGAATATTGCAAAATAAACACAAAGACTTTGCAGTTTATCATTTATTGAGCTTTCTTTCGAATTAATTGAACATTTTCATGTTATTCAAGGAGAGATTATCAGTTTTGTCACTTGACCCAAACGTCAGGATTGTCGAAGGTTGTGTTTTTCAGCATGATGTTGAGAGATGGAGATACAAGATGGTGTCATGATCCTGAATAAAAGAGACAATGATAAAGATTTAGAGATATATTTTGATTAAATGAATATGATTAAAAACACTCTAAGCAAGGCTCAACAAAATTCATGCAGTTAGCTCACAATTCAAATAACTTCATGTGTTTTTGGGACAGCCGATCGCTCGGTCAGTCAGTCGACAGCAGCCTCTGGTTGATTTACGTGAGAAGAGCAGGCGCAAATGCTACTCGCAAGAGAAATTTAAGATCTCAAAAAGTGTACACAGCGGCCTCGGGTAGATTTGCAAAAACCGAAAAAGAATGTTCCTACTGAGACGTATTTGGAACTCTTCAGAAATGCATTTAGCGGTATGTTTTCTGAATGAGCCTGGGTTGACATTATAAGTACGCAAATATCTTTAAATATAAAACATGCTGCATGAAACGGAAGCTGAAACAATGCAAAAAGCACATTCGGTGTGATGACGGCATATTGTTTTTCCATGGTGGGCATCTGCTAAACTGGCCAATTAGAGACTATTAGCTTTTATTAATACTTTCAATTTTACAGATGTCTCACTAAATTGTCTACAAACTGATCAGGTAAAAAAATAATAATAATAAGATCTGATTGAACCCATGTTGATATTCATGTTGACAATTCACATCACCCTCCAAAAAAAGAACCATTGAATTTTTAAAGTTTTGAAATAATTACGATGCAACAAAGCTGCAACACACCTAACAAGCTAATCAAGGTCTTATTAGGTATACTTGAAACACTCAGACAGGTTTGTTGAGGCAAGTTTGAGCTAAACCCTGCAGGGCACTGGACCTCCAGGCAATAGATTGGTGACCCCTGTTCAATATTATGTCCTCAGTACTTTGTTGGGCCACCTTTTGCACTAATTACAGGATCAAGGCGCTGTGGCATGGAGGCGATCATCCTTTGACACAGTTGAGGTGTTATGGTAGCCCAAGTTGCTTTGATATTGCCCTTCCACTCTTCTGCATTTTAGGGTCTATGTTCTCCCATTTTCCTCTTGACAATAACCCATAGATTTTCAATGGGGTCAGGGTCAGGTGAGTTTCCTGGCCAATTAAGAACAGGTGTACCATGGTTCTTAAACCAGGTACTGGTAGCTTTGGCACTGTCTGCAGGTTCCAAGTCCTGCTGGAAAATAAAACCATCCTCTCCAAAAAGCTTGTCGACAGCAGGAAGCATAAAGTGCTTTAAAACCTCCTGATATAGAGCTACGTCGATTGTAGACTTGTAGACAATGAACCAACACCAGCATATGACATGGGCCCCCTAAACCTTAACTGACTGTGGAAACTCCACACTGGATTTTAAGCAACTTGACTTTTGTGTTGCTTAAGCACAGACACTTCTAATGTTGTTTTTGGTTCAGGAGTACCTTGATGCATGGAATTCTACAGCTGTAGCCCATGTCATGCAGATATCTGTATGTGGTGGTTCTTGATGCTCTGACACCAGCCTCAGTCACCCTTGCTTGACAGTCCTCTCAAGGCTGCAGTCATACTTGTGCACCTCTTCCAGCCACATTTTTCCCTTTCTCTTAACACTCTGTTAATAGAGTGGAGGAACTATGACGTCAATTTGTATGCAAAAACCCGGAAGCGAGTTAGCATTTTAGCAGTTCCGGTTCCCAAAGTCAATGGGTTTTTGTATGGGGTTTCAGTAAAATCGCTTCCCTGCTGAAAAATCCAGCTTAAACCAGCCAACCAGCTTAGGCTGGTTTAAGCTGGATTTTTCAGCAGGGTTAAATAAGGTTTGTGGCAAACACAAACTCAAGATACTTTCACGTTTTGTTCTACGACATAAAACACATCAGTTACAGCACACTCTTGATTTTTTAAATCGGTTATGCTTCTTTCAAAGGAAGGTTGCTATCAAGTTGCTAAATGGGACTACAGGCGGTTTCGGAGGCATTATACGTCATCGAGCTGAACTGGTCTGGAGCGCAGCTCGCTTTTGTTGGGTATTTGGATTTGTCTGTGATTTAGGTATTTTCATGAATAGTATTTTATAGTTTGTAGTATTTTTCTAATTGGAAATTTAGATTGTGTGTAGATAATTCCTTCACTTGTAAAGACTGTCGAGACAGTCTTTAGGAAGATAGTGCAAGATATTAAGAAGATAGTGCTGCCTGTCTCTTTCCTGCTCTCAGTAATGCAAACGTGTGAATAAATGTGTAAAAATACATGCATGTTAACTGCCATTTTAACGTGATCAAGTGATTTTTCGTCTTTTTTTCTTCATCTGAATGTGTAGCACATTTAACTCTGTCATAACTGCAATATTTAACTTACAGTCCTCCATAAAATGTACAACAGATGTGTCTGTATGGGCTGCTTTTCACTGTACTTTGTGACAAAAAAGGAATATTGAATGTTGCTCTGTGTTCAGGCATTTGATAGACTTGTTCCTCCTCACGCCTCATTTCTGTCGTCTGTTAAGGTAAGCAGGCTGTGTGCACGCGAGCGATACACTTATTTAAATGTCTTATGATAATACTATTCAGGCAGATTCATACACGCAGTTTTAAAACTTTTAGAACAACCGTAAAGCAAAACAGATGTATTTCTCACGTAAAAACGATCCCAAAGGCACATAGGTCTATGTGTTTTTTGTATTTATTTGTTTATAATATATACCGTGGATTATAATATAATAAACAGAGAGATTAACTCTTTGTCATGGACATTATTTCTAAAAATAAGCTTGATAAGTTGTCTGAAGCAGAGTGGGGCTGACGTCACTGACGAGCGCCCCGAGGGCAGTGAAGTCCGTTTATAATATAATATAATAAACAGAGAGATTAACTCTTTGTCATGGACATTATTTCTAAAAATAAGCTTGATAAGTTGTCTGAAGCAGAGTGGGGCTGACGTCACTGACGAGCGCCCCGAGGGCAGTGAAGTCCGTTTATAGCCTAATGCTTTTCAATTCTTGCGCTTGTATTTAAGATCCAAAAGTGCTCAAAGTTGTATTTTCGTGTGAGGATTATCCGGCTGGACAAAACGTGTAAGTGTAATGAACAGTGTTTGAACACAGAGCTTATTATTTGCAATCTTCGAAAAGCCTATCAGAAAATCCTATAGGGATTTTAACGAGGGAACCAGTTTTATGCTAGCAGCCGATTAGCCTACAAAGTGACGTCATAGTTCCTCCACTCTATATACTTAGATACTGCACTCTGAGAGCATCCAGTTTGTTTTGCAATTGTCTTTTGAGACTTTTTCTCCTTATGGAGGGTTCCAATGATGGTCTTTTGCACAACTGTCAAGTCAGCAGTTTCACCATGATTTTGAAGCCTGCTAGGTCAGACTGAGACAATTTCATGGCTTTGCATTACTTAGCAGACTACATTGAGACAAAGGAGCCTACAATGTTGAACTTTGCCATTATATTCTAACTTTGTGAAATACTGGATTGGAGGTTTTTTCATCATTAATCCATAATCATTCATATTGAAACAGAAGAAGGCTTGAAATATTTCACTTTGTGTGCAATGAAACTCACAAGTTTCACTTTATGAAATAAATTGTTGAAATAAATGGATTTTCCATCGATATTCAAATTTTTGGCACACACCTCTAGAATAATTGGTTACATATTTAATTGCTAATATTTGGTTGAAATACTTACTATTATGTTGGTCAAATTACAGTCTCTCTCCTGGCATCTTGCTTTACTTGTGAAAGTGTAGAAGTATTGCTTTGCTTGCTTGTTACAGCAGGTACAGTATGGAATTTAGTTTAACAAAGAGAGATCGTCTGCATGAAACTTGACCCAAAAGTGATGTATTAAGGTCAGTCTGGTTGCCTAGCAGGAGAAAGACAAAAAGATTAAAGTGATTTATCTGTTAATGGGTTGTTGGTTTGACATTGCATTTTCACTATAACACATGACAAACATGAATATAATCTGTATTGTCATCTATCTATCTATAAATTTATCTATCTATCAATCTATCTATCTATCTATCTATCTATCTATCTATCTATCTATCTATCTATCTATCTATCTATCTATCTATCTATCTATCTATCTATCTATCTATCTATCTATCTATCTATCAATCTATCTATCTATCTATCTATCTATCTATCTATCTATCTATCTATCTATCTGTCCATCTGTCAGTCTGTCTGTCTGTATGTCTGTCTGTCTGTCCGTCCTTGTGATAATTTTTAATAGCGTACATTTTGACAAAACCGTCTTATTTACTTTTAATATTATATTTCTTTACAGTTTTTGTTCATAAATTAATTAGTACAGAAATTGGTATGTTCAGGACCTTCAGGACAAAGAAAGTTTTCATTGGAACCTGTTACAGTTTTTCTTCATTGGTATGGCTAATTTCTTGAAACAGGAATTACATTCTCAACACTCAAGATTGTTTGGCAAAACAGTCGTACGGTTCAGCACAACACTATAGCTCATATATTTCCTAAAACTGTTCACTCATGTGTTAAAACAAAATTTCCTTCTTATTTAAACAGTCAGTGCCCCAAAATCCTTTGTCCCTTTGGCATTGTGTAAGCACTGCAAGTCAAAAGGATTAGATGTTTTGTCACTATGGCCATATCCCTCATGTCTACCTTTCAGTCTCATAGTTTTTCTCTAAACTATGAGTGCAAATCTCAAAACTTTGCTGGAACTTCAGATCTTCAAAATGTAGTTACTCACCCAAAACATTTAATTTATGCTTCAAAACCTAGTTTTCATTTCAGTAATGTGGCCATGGTGTAACAAACAGCACTAGTAACCAATTATCCAGCCAGCAGAGGGAGCCTTCCCCCGAATTCTGACTGCCTGTTCTTATTTGTTCATACAGTTGAAATCAGAATTATTAGCCCCCTGTTTATTTTTTCTCATTTCTGTTAACTGATTTATTTTATCTTTGCCATGATGACAGTAAATAATATTTGACTAGATATTTTTCAAAACACTTCTATACAGTTTAAAGTGACATTTAAAGGCTTAACTAGGGTAATTAGGCAAGTTATTGTATAATAATAGTTTGTTCTGTAGACTATCGAAAAAAATAGCTTAAAGGGGCTGATCATTTTGTCCTTAAAATGGTGCTTAAAATTTTTTAAACTGCTTTTATGTTAGCCGAAATAAAACAAATAAGACTTTCTCCAGAAGAAAAAATATTATCAGACATACTGTGAAAATTTCCTTGCTCTGTTAAACATCATTTGGGAAATATTTAAAGAAAATAAATAAATAAATAAATAAAGAGGGGGCTAATAATTCTGACTTCAACTGAATATATATATATCTATATTGATCAGCTGGTTTGTCTATAAGCTGACATACGAGTGATCCGCTGATGAAACGCAGCTTTGAAAAGCTCCAGTGTCCCTGTGTCTGTGGTTAGCTTCAGTAAACAGCGGTGAGTTCGGTGAATTTTATTATTTATTACTTTTTTAAAAGTCCATTTTTTATATATAATATTTTATTTTTAAAATTATATACAACATAATTTTAATGTGTTGTTCTTTTCTTAGCCTTAGAAAATACTACATTTTATCGTTTCTAATAAAAAAAATAATAATTAGTGGCTTTGCATACACCATCATTTAAAGAGTTTAAAATACTAAATGCTGTATTTATGCTGTATTTTGATTTGGTTTTAACCTCTGTGGACCTACTTTCACATCCGTCATTGACCACCTGAGGGCGCTGTAGTGCACCAGGACTCAGTAGGCACTACAGCGTCCCAGGAAAGACTACATTTCCATACATTATTTCGCGCACACACCCGATTTGTCATCTACACTGATTTACAACCACAGCTGTCTCCATTCTCCGTGATTACCATATATTCAGTCATTCAACCACTGTTTGTCATCGCGTCGTTGTCTTTCTTGTACCCAGTAAGTCTGTTTTTCCTAGTTGTTGTTCCTGATCTTGCCTCGTATCTTGCTATAGTCTAGTTCATGTTTATCTGTTTTAGTTTCTTGTTTTGTTGTTTATTTGTTACTTTGCACTTTGATATTTTGGATTTTTGTTCACTGTTTTTTACTCTTTAATATATTAAAATCTGCACTTGAATCCGCTATTTTTGTTCCCGTTATTGTTTTGATCATGCCTAACGTGACACTTGACCTACATTTGATTCACAATTGTCAACGTTTGACAAAATGTCCTTACCAAATCAAACCATATGCAGATTTCACTCAGTCCAGACCAACAAACACCACCTGCAAATGACATTTGGAATGTGAGATGTTTTTGGTGTATCTTATTCTGTGTAAATTATGTTACAAAAGCATGCTGTATGCATGAGTTGATTTAATAAATGACTCACAAAGGATTGTTGTGGACAAGACACAGGATCACTCTCTGGTTAGTTGCTAAAACAATGGACAATATTATTAATTTTGAGAATTGTAACCATGCCAATTATGCTCCAGTTTTCCAGTTATCACACGTGTTTGGGGTATTTTTTTTGGCTTCCACACAAATTCAAATTTAGATTTTTGTATTAATATTTTGAATTATATATGAACAAATACACACACACACATACAGTACAGTGCCCAGCATGAGTGCACCCCCCACCTTCCTCCCTCTTCAATAATTCAGATTCTATGAAACAATAAATAAAATAATTAACATAAAAATGTGGTCATTTAATATCATTTAGTAAAGGAAAATAATACACAAAAATTGCCTAGGTGCTGCAAAAATAATTATGACCAATTAATATTAAATAATTAAGACCAATTTTTAAATACATTAATTAAATCTACTAATTTAATTAATTTCTATTGTAGTGCACATATTTTAAGTCATTAAATTACATAAATATTTTGTTAGATTAGTTCCCCTTATGTATTTGGGTATGCTAATGGGTATGCTAATGTAATGTAAAACTGGTAAAACAGATTTGCACAAATATCTAATTCTATAGAATCCCAGTATTATTTTTAAAACAAGGGGTGCTTTGTTTTCAGAATTATGGTGTACTCTGTTATACTGGGTACTGTATGTACTGTATGTATATGTAATTTGTATTTAAATATTTTTACTTATGTAATTTTTTTCTTTTTTTTAAACTAGAGAAAAAAAAAAAATATATATATATATATAAATAAATGTATATGAATATTATTTTTTTCTGTGTTATTTATTTATTTTTAGTGCTTTCTATTTTTCTATTTTTTAACCATGTATTAATGTAGTTTATTTTTTTCTTTATTTTGCTTATTTTTTAGTTTTTTTGTTATATTTAATTATATAATTGTAGTTTATATATAACGTAAGAAACGTGTTAGTGAATTAGAAACAGCAGAATTTACAAGTTCTGTTTAACAAATGTTTTGTCAAATCTTAAAGCTCTGCCATATTCTTGAGGGGATGCTGAGTTTTTAGCATTAAAAGCACCAATATATATTCCAACACACCCGCGAGAGCTTGAGAAAATAGGGGATCCGCTGTCTCCATTTTTGCCTACTTTGCTAATCACAAATTCATTTGCCTGCATTTGCAATTTCATATTAGTATTTGGTGTTTCAACTCGACAACACTTTGGCCCATAATTCCCTGACTCTAATATATAAAATTGCAAGTCCTGATTTTTATCTAACTCAACTATCTCTGATTTCAAGTTTTGTAATGGATCTATACATCCTTGTAATTCAATTAAAGAAATATCTTGGTTTTCTGGAATTGTTTTACCATTTATATAGAGTGTTCTATAACCTCTATATATTAAGCATTCATAATTTGGGAAAAGGACATAAATATTAGCGTTTTCATAATCCTCTACAACATGTTTGGCTGTTATTACAGCACCAGAGCCGTAATAAAAGCCCAGACCTCTGCTGCGCCAACCCTCCTCAATATTCGAAGACCAAACTAAAATGTAACATGGGAACTGGTCTGATAAATATTTGCCATTACAAGACATAATCTGACCATTTTCAATAGCTAATGGACCAGATGTAAAATTTAGTTTTATTAAGCTACAAATTAATGTTTTATCAGAACAAAATGATAGTTTATAAAAGGGTATATTTAGTCCAGAGCTATACAAATTTTTCCTAATGTTTGCTAGTAATTTGAAAAGTTTTCTAATATTGTCCATTGTTTACACCAAATCTGAGAAAACAAAAGCAATATAGTAGAAAAATAACTTTACTGCTGCCAATACTTTTAGATTACAAACACAGCTAAAATCAAGATTCCAAACTTAACTTGTTATCATGTTATGCATCTGTAAATACCAACTCATATTATAAAAATGTAAATAATATGTAAGAACTATGAAACCTTTTCCAGTAGAACCATACCTTTTGGATGTTGGTGGCAACTACAAAGATTTCCTGGGAGGTTGGAGGATTTACAGAAGATTTGAGCCAATCATTCTTCATGGCTTCCTGAGTGGGCGTTTCATTATAGGAGCTGTAATGAGTAAAAACGAAACTTGAAATGAGGAAGTGGTAAAAATCCTTTAGAGGTTTCTACTGAAATGACAATTAAAATGAGTTTATTGGCTTGCTGTAAACTCAATAAGGCTGATTTAATTTTATATATAAAAAAAAAACTTATAATTTAAATAATTTGCTTGGGTATTTTAGAAAAATATTAGCAAGCACTGATATGTTTAACTAACCACCTTAAAACCACCCGCAGATTTAGCAAAGGCACATACTTTATACTATACATACTATAGAATACAAAAGAGATGTTATATAGAATTATCTGTTGTTGTCTTGACACATGGTCGAGAATTAGGTTTATTAAATTTTACCTCCCTGACTCATCATCCCTCCTTTCTGCTTCATATGAAAAAATCTATCAAGAGCCACGCTGTCAAAATAAGATCATCATCATCATTATTTGAACTTTAGGTTAACACCTCTGCATTAAAGGCGGTTATGCCAGTTTCACAACGCATGATTTTCACCATGCATAGTTCAGTTTGCTTTTTGTTTAAACTACATTGCTTTCATCAGCGTTGGCTCGGTTGCACATAGAGAATAACATTTTTATTCCAGAATTACTTCTACTTATAAATACACTTGCACAAAAAGGAAATCTCATAGCATTTACTGGGGCACTGGGGATTTTTACTGAGGCACATGCCCAAGTAAATGGGTTCTAGCATCGCCACTGGGTATTGATATTTGCACTATAAATGAGTGTATGGGTGTTTCCCAGTGAAGGGTTGCAGCTGGAAGGGCATCCGCTGAGTAAAACATATTCTGGATAAATTGGCAGTTCATTTCACTGTGGCAACCCCTGATTAAGAAAGGGACTAAGCTTAAAAATAAATAAATAAACGAATACAGTATATCAGTATAGATGTTCAGTGAATTTGCAGTAATCTCTTTGACTTATTAGTAAAAAAAAAGTTCAGAAACTGTGACTAAAATATCTGTGATTACCAGTGTTAATTTTGACAGCAAATTCTGAATTAGTCTTAGTCTTAGTCTTTGGAATAATACACCATTTAGTTTTAGTCCTATTTTAGTCATCTGAAATCTTTTAGTCTTAGTCTAGTTTAGTTGACTAAATATCATAAGAGTTTTAGTCTTAGTTTAGTCTTAAGTCTATTAGTCTTAGTCTAGTTTTAGTAGACCAAATATTAGCAGATTTTTCTCCATAATTCATGTAATTGTAAGTATAATATAATATATGGAAGCATATATAGAATACAGGCACATATCTAATTGTTGTAATAAAAACATTTTATTACATGTCAAAAACATGAGTCTTTTTCACAAAAAATAACCACAAGACCTGCTCTCCCTGAACAATATACATGCTCCCTGAAAAAGATATGCATTGTCCCTGAATTATATGAAACGCATATGACATTCTTTCAAGATAAAGTACAGCATTCATACTGTGTTTTAATTAAATTGCTAATTTTAGTTTTCTTTGGAACTGTTAGTCTCCCATCTATCATCCCCATCATTAGCACAAAGTCCTCATCCTCAATTGTTGTGAGTGGTAAACCTGTCCGTCCAATCCATCTAGCTATGGCCTGCTCCTTGGTCTGTTGTTCCTTTGATTCAGTCTTGTACTTTGAAGACCTTAGGAAATCTGAGATGGCCTGCTGCTGTGTTGTACTAGTAGCATCACTAGCTTTATTTCCACCTGGCCCATGGTCATCAGACATCTTCTGTATCTATGAGGATATATAAATGATATACAAAGTTGTGATATTTTCTTCTTTCTTGCCATATAACACACACACACACACACACACACACACACACACACACACACACACACACACCTTTTGTCGAGTCATATCACCACAACATCTATTATAATAGTACACATATTTATATTAATTAATTCAGCGAGACAATTCGTTTAATCAATACTATTTAAAGTTAATTTCCTTTGGCTTCAATTTTATTCCAAGTTTAGCAGAATCACGGTGGTTTATCTTATAGGATAACCTTAACGTTAGCGTTTATGCTTACCTTGGTGTGGATTTCTGGATGAGCCGTCTGTAAACGTCGCTTCAAGTTGGTGGTGTTTTTCCCAGCGATTTTTACTCCACATGGTTTACAGACGCTCTTGTTGTCCTTGTTGTCATATGTGAAGTTTGACCAGATGTCAATTCTTCGTTTTCGTCCTAGACCAAGCTCTGACATTTCTGTCTGTCTGTTCATGAGACGCTGCCCTCGGACCGAGTGAACAAAACTTTAGCGTGTTGCTAACGAGAAAAGTCAACTTAAATTAACCAACGCTTTGTAACCAAGTATAATGTGTAACTAAATATAATGTATAACAAACGTCATCATAACTTGAAAACCGCGGCTTTTGTTTTGAAAATGGCTTTGCCAAGACCAACCTGCCCTCAAAAGATTTGCTCTGATTGGATTTCCCCACAAAAGGGTAGTTCTTATTGGATCTCTTCTCCATTCGTCCCGCCCCAACATTTTCCTCTCGTTTTTATTCGTTGACTAAAGTGTCAGTTAAATTTCGTCATCGTCTTCGTCATCGTATCTGACTTTTTATTTAGTTTTTATTTAGTTTTCGTCTGTAAAAAATGTTCGTTGACGAATATTTTTCGTCATAGTCTTCGTCAACGAAATTAACACTGGTGATTACGAACAAGAAAAGAATAAACAGTCAAATTAAATTGCCAAATTCAAAAGAAAAGTAAAGCAGATTGGTTTGACTGTATAAGGGAAATACCTCACACTCGCGGTGCTAAATCATTTGCCGTTGATACGCAGAGCGGCAATTTGCTCTTGGGCTGCAGGTGTGAGAGACGGCTGTGTGGTACTGGGCCACATGTGAGTGACTGAGCCGGGGGAGGGTAAAGTCTAGATCGGATACACGGCTGGCCGGAAGTGTGATATGCGCATCAACATAGCATCATTTTTGTGATACTGTATAACAATAATTTATATTTTTACAGTACTGTGGTTGGGTTTGTGGTGGGACTATTAAAAAAATACAATTTATTGATTAATTTACTACATTAATACTATGTACTACTGTTTTTACATTACTGTGATGGTTGGGTTTAGGGTTGGGGTAGACGTTAATAAAATACAATAAAAGAGAATTTTTTATAAATAATATAAATTATTGCAGCCGCAATCATATCTGATCTAGCAACAACCCTGGGGATGGGGCCAACGGCATCACCTACAGCTCGTAGAGACGAGTTGGAACGGTACAATACAGATGGATGAGATTCTATTCAAATGAATTTAAAAATTCAATAGATTTGATGCTAGTCAATTTTTTTTTATTTGTCGCTAGGGGGTCTGAAAAGTTGCTAAATATAGTGACAAAGTTGCTAAGTTGGCAACACTGGCGCCATCTACAGTTTGTGTGTCATTTTAAAGGTATAAATCAAAATGAAAGCTCTTGTCATTATTTATACTCATCCTCCACATTTTTTGTTCTTTATTATGTTGAACACAAAGAAAAATATACTGATGAAAGTGGGGAAAAAACAAGTATTCATTTCCAAAATATTTTTTTCCTATGGATGTCCATGAGTAAATGACAGAATTTTATTTTTTTGGGTCAACTATCCCTTTAACACAGATCTAAAGGTGCAGAATTGAACTTAGTACAGTGTAAAAAATTCATGATTCTATTCATGGTTTTATTTTTTTGTCTTTCCCCTTTTATTTATGCTTTTGAATTGTATGAGACCTTGATAATTTTTCCAACAACTCTGAAACCCTAAAAAGTTGGAAAAACTGACTTTTAATAACATTTTAATAGTTTAAAGAGATATATTGTCTGGGTTGGTGTCTTAAATTACAGTACAAAAACTAATAAACTAATAAATTCCCAGTACATTTTTTAACAGCATCTGGATGCAGACTCGGTGCAGTTGCAAGCTCAGGTGCATCAATGCTTTTAATGTGCATACCCATCCCCACCACTAACCCCACCCCTCACAGTGATGTCACTTGCTCCATGGAGTGCATTGGGTCTAACATTACTAGTCTGAGATATGCAGTCTTAGCTTGCAAGTCCAAGTTGACATCCAGATACTATTGACATTTTCTGTCATTTCACTGACTTATTTCTCTATATATTATTTCTTACACTACTTCAGACTATTAAAATTCCAATAAAAGTCACTTTATTAAACTGTAGAATTGAATTTTCAACATCAAAAGTCGACTGGGCAGAGATCAACATCCCATAAGGTAATTCACAACCTGTAATTAAGCGGAAAACACTTGTGAATCACAAAATATGGACAATGTTAATTGATAGACTTTTTTCAGGGTACTCTAAATTCTTAATTAATCTAATCTAAATATTTAATTTATTTAGTAATTTAACATTTTGAATACTCTTGTTTATTTAACCTGTTCGGAAGTGATGAAGATATGCAGTTCACGAAGTGACCAGAAGGTGTCGGTGTAAACCTGCAGGAGAGCCAGAGACGCTTCATTCACACACATGACTGGAGCTTCTCTGCGTTTACTTCCCATGTGCGTGCAACTGCAACTGACGCTGAGAGATACACCTGCTTTTTATTAGAGCCGTAATCCAACTCCAGTCGCTCTTGAGGAAGCAGAGAAGAGATAGAGGTGAAGGGGTGAGTGATGCTAGAACTAAAGGATGCAAACACTGTAGAACAGGCACTTTTTTTTTTTGCTGGACGTGTGTTTCTGCTTAAACTCCAGATATAGCGATCTAATTGTTTGTTATCCGAGGCAAACAAACCGGTGCACGCGCACCTTGATTGTTAAAGGGACAGTTCACCCCAAAAATAGTTACATCTTTGTTGTTTGTGACACGTGGTACGGAAACCACAAATTCCATTGCAAAAGGATCCCCCCTCTTGTTTTCCAGTGCAAATAAATCAAGAAAATAAAGAAGGGAAGGGTTGTTAAAGTTAATTAAAACTAAATCTATTAAAACAGAAAATAATTTACAGGGGAAAAAGCAATATGGGTTGTTGACTTAACATTTTTACCTGTCCATGATGTCACACAATAAAAATGAGTATTTGTTTAAAAGATATACCTTTATGTTGTTCCTCTGACTAGTTATTACAGCTATTAATATAGCTTTAGATGATGTTTACAGATCTGTACTTAATTTTTTTTATCTAAATATCAAAATTATCATGTGGTTGAATGTCTGAGCGACATGTGATCTTACTAATATAACAATATATCTCAGCATAGTATAAATAATTGAAAAAGTCAGAGTTTAAGTAACATAATTAGGCTTTTTTATTGGACTCATTAAATGCTGATGATAAAGTACATGATTTTAAAGAAAGGCCAAATACATTTTGTCCATAAAATGGGTATCATATGGTGTGACACTATCAGTGTTTCTCAACCACGTTACTGTAGTACTTTACTTTTTTTTACTTTTACTTTCTCAATTGTCCACAAGTGGAAATTTATCTTTGGCTTCACCACACAACCACATCAGCGTTCACATTAAACACATCACAGAAAAAACAGGCAACACAAATACATTCAACGTTATCCCATATATCTCTTTAAAAACTCAATGTAAAACCCTATACATACTTAGAACTCAGTATTTAAAATTCTAATCGCACTCGGCACAAAGGACATTTGATACACATTTTTCTTAACTTGAGGTTGCCTAAAATGTCTTTTTGATGGCTAGAGCTGAAATGTAATATTTAAGCGATGGGAATAATCTTTAATAATGACATGTGCTTTCTGTTTAATTCTCATTGAATAAATTTCATTTGGTCGTCTTTGTGCTTTACCTACAATTGCACTGGCAATTTTCACTACTCAACACAGTTTTTGCTTTTCCCTAATTGGCAACAGTCCGTACCATGCAATCATTTAAAAATGCACTCTGCATTCGCAGTAAATGTTAATCCACTATCAGTAAATGTTCCTAAATATTTAAAACATCCAACTGTCTCTATTTCATGTCCCTCAAGGACCAGAGGTTTCAACCCTTGACTATGTACTAGTTTTTTTCTGCTATTTATCTTTTCCTTGGTTTTATTAAAATTGATCTCCAGTGCACTCCTTTTACACCCAACTTTGAAGCAAATGTATATAATTATAGTACAAGGTATCTCCTTCTTTTCCTAATTTAGTCAACCGGCCTACAAGTGCCATATCATCTGCATATTTAAATAACATAAAACCTAAATCCTGGATCTTAAGTTCATTTGTGTAAAGAGAAAAAAATACCAACTACAGCACTGCATGTCTTGGATATCACCCTTGTCTGTCACACCTATTACAGGCCTTTCAGTCTCTGCTAATGATGATCTGCATCAGGTGTGTTTGGTTAAGGAGACTTTGAAATTGTGCAGACCTGGTGGTCCTCCAGGAACATGGTTGAGAAATGATGATCTATATTTTGATTGGGCAATCATTTTTACATCATAATGATAAAGTCCACAATCCACATCATCTCTGGAGTGGTTTGGAATGTCAAGAGAGTAGTTCAGACTTTTTTAATTTTCAACTAATCAGCTCTGTATCTGATATGCTCACTAGTGGTGTGACATGATTTACATAATAGCTCATTCATTTACATTACATCGTTTCATTTACAACATAGATCTGCACAAAAACAAAATGCTGTAAAGAACAAAATCTTAGTATAAAGATTTATGGTGATGTTAGTAACTTCACAATAAGTGTGTCCATTTTAGTTTTATGTAAAATAACATTTGCTTCACACCATGTTACAATTTTAGGTCAGATGCAACAGATTGGTGAATGAATCTCATTTTCAATACAAAATCTAAAAGACCACATTTATTTTGGGAAATTTAAGTGTCAGTACTACACAGCTCAATAATTTTATGCCAACTAAAATTATTGTGGTAGCCATATACGTATATGGTAGCCATGCGTTATTCTGCAGTAACAGCATTCATACAGCGTCCTCACCCTTGTGTATTACTCCGCCCACTTAGTGACAGCAGATCGATAAACTCAGCTGTTGGACACTATAATGTACATTTGAGGCTTTTTAGTCGAGAATGTAGTTGTTTGGATTGCAACTATGCAGTTTATTTGTAAGGATAGTGCCTACTTTATTTATTATTTCGGAGATTCAGCGCATTGGTGGCCATCAGCTTGTCATTAAGCAGAGCAAAGATGGTTGATGTTCTACCACAGAGACTGCATAATAAACCTTTAGAGGGAGAAAAATTCTACGTTTTTATTCTACCTCCCATCAGTGCAGATATCCAGCCATATCACACTGCTACTCGTGTGATATTGCCCATAAATATAATACCTTAAACATTATTTGGTTTAAGGTACATAGTTTCGTAGTTCCAATTAATTATTTCATTTCATTATATATTTTTTTACAAATGGGACAAAAGGACAAAAAGCGCACAACAAAATACTTGAAATCATTTAAATTGAATTATTATTATCTTTAATTATAAAACCAAGGGAAATTTTAAAACCCATTTAAATTATTTACAAAAACTTCAATAGTTGTTCAAGGATAAAAACAACAACAACCCTGACTTGAGAAAGTGTTTGAAAATGATGTAAGGGATTTTTTCCTTTTCTCTTTTATAATTCTACAATAGCTGTGCCCTCTATTGCCAGCCTTTTTTTAAAGTATAAAATTCTGATTTATTTTTCAGGAAGCAAGTTTTAACAGGTAATTTTTCTTAAGTAACTGTTTCTTTTTTAATTTTTTTTGTCATAATGATTCAATATTGTAAAAAACAAACGAACTGATAAAACAACAATTTGCCGTGCAGCTATTTTCTGATCGTTACGAGACTGTAAATCACTCTCTGAGCATCCAAACGGTGGCCCGTGGCCCGTTTGCTCCGTTTTCTCTACAGAGGGAGCAGTGTGCGTCTGTGGAAAGAGAAACCTCGCGCTGACCTGTGGAACACGCTTCACCAATTAGCAGCCGTACTACAGGATCAAATGGAATTGAAAACATTCACTGACGAGGCCGCCGTGCATTACAATGCTCCATTCATGAAAGGCCGATCCGCTGCACAGCGCTTTTCCCCTCATTCGTTCTTTCATTCTTTCCCTTTTTCTATGAATGCAAATCCAACCTGACCTTTCTCTCGCACGCAGCTCAGGACGGCTTTATGAGTCAAGCTCTGGGTTTGGAGAGGTTTCATGCTTGGCGCTGCGACAGTCCGTCCTGGTTTTGCACCTGAGATGCCGCACTCTGCCATTTGGTCAGCGATGATGTTTTCTGGCCCACAGACACACAATGTGCCGGCTGGGTTCGAGCAGATGTTTGAATAATGCGTAGTAAAAGTCAAGCCGCTTGACATTTAAAGACCCCATGAAATCCGAATTAGAGTTTTGTGGCGGGTGTTTCATGCCGGTTAGCTTTAAGGTTGTCAGTTTTAGCCTTTTTATAGGCTTTGTCTTCTGGGAAAACAAACCTAAAATGTTGATGATTCATCCGGCCTCCTGCTAGCGCCACCAATGCTAATATGTTCATAGTTGTGACAAAGCTTTAAGCGTAATGCATTGCTCAGTGTTCAGTATTGAGCATGTGGTCCATTTTTTCTAATTCTTTTTTTACTTGCCCTGACAAAATTATTCATTGGCTCCCATATAAATTCCCACATGGACTGCTGATTCACTAGTACAGGGGCGCCCAAACTTGCTTTTAGGAGGCCAAAAACCAAACTTGATTGAGGGTGGTGGACCAAAGGTAAATATACCATTAAAGCTGCCATGGTAATGCCCTAATGTATTAGTTTTTATGAAATAGATAGAAAAAAATACTTTATTCATACTAATAATTATATTTTTTTAGCATTTTATAATGAACTTCCTGCAATAAAAACATAAACACATTTCGAACACATTTCGAACACTCAATTCTGAATACATGGGTGAGGCTGCAATGCCTTGTGCATAGTCCGCTATATTCGACTGACAGTATTTACATTTTTAAAAATCTGATTCATATACAACATTTAATTGAAACATTTCATTTTAGTTGGCTTTTTTGGTAGAACAACAATTCAACAAACAAACAAAAGGTTACATTAACCTCCTAGGGCTTAGTTAGCTTAGTACATTTTAGCTCTTAAGTAGCTATTTAAAACACTTTTAATGTTTTATATTTTGTTACAGACATACAGTGTCATCCTGCAACTGTTTTGCAGCATATGAAATATCCCAAACCCTATTTTTAACTGGCCAAAATGTTGTTTTTACTCTCTGATAGTCAAAACATGCAAAAAAAAAATTGTTATATATGCATTCAAAAACAGTCATGTTTTCTGTAAATTCGGACCACGAGTCCATTTTTCTCTAAAAGTACATCATATCAAAAGACTTAGGTTTTATTCTAATTAAGTTCCAATAAGCCGAAATAGCAAAGAGAAATAAAAAATGCATGTAAAAAAAAAAAACATTGGGCCTTAAGAGGTTAAATTAGAAATGACAATCTCTGTTAAAGGCATCCCTGTTAAAGGCAAACCCAACCCTCCCATTATTCTAATTCTCTTTTCAGATGGGATAGCGGGCCAAATCAAAGGTTACTGTTATGATCTCAAAGGAGGTCAGTCAAGGGGGAGGAGTGTAACAAATGTTTGGGTGAAACAAACATAAGCAAACACAATATCAACAAGTACAGGACAAAGTACCATGTAATATATATAAGGCTAGCGCGAAAAGGAACGGCATCATAAGGCCTCGTAGATCTCCAGAAATTTAAATAGACTCATTTTAAAAATGTAGCCCTTTGTTGGTAGCATTTAAATGATTGCTTTTTTTTGTTTAGTTTTTAGTGTATTATATGGACAATTATCAGCCACAAACAATGTAATCCTACATCAGTCAAAATTTTGCGCGTCCTTAGTTTACAGAAAGTCAAAATAGAGCCTCAGACCTGTGTTTTAATAGAAAATCTATAGTAGATTACTTATAAAACGCTAATAGAATGTGTATATGATCTATATAAGATTAAAAATCTGATGGTTATTGAACTGAATGGTCTTTAAGTCTGTTTATCCTCTATAAATGACCTTTTTATTTACGTAATTAATTGTTTATTTGCATGAACGTAGGATCTCTTCTCAGTTTATTAAAAAGTCAAACCCATGTCTCTGCTTATAGATCTTTCCATCAAATTTTATGAAACCACTACAGGGGCCAGGTGTATGTTACAAACACCGAAATACATACATGCACCATTTCCCACCCCTACACATACAACATAAACACACACACACACACACACACACACACAGACAGATTCAGGAGAGAAAAAAAGAGAAGAAATCCAAAGGTCTGCATGCATTTTCAATTAACGTCTTCCGCTCGCAGATCTTAACTTTCCATCAAAATCAGCCAAGTCCCACAGCCTCCGCTCGCATGGAACCATCTGATATAAATATAACTTTGCAGCACGTCAGGTTTGAAATCCATAAATATAGCTTGACGTATTCGCAAAAGACCCACCGTACCTTTCTCATCGCCCCCTAAAGATATAGAGGTGCTCTGCAAAGGGATATCACATGTTGAATTATCACAGCTACTGTTTAGCAGCTTATAGTTCAGAAAGGAGCCGCTGGTGTTTTATATCTCTGTGGCCTAGAAACTTGAAAGATATGGATGAGCAGGCCCATATGTTTTGATGGAGGTAATCTGCCAGATAGATTGCGGTTTCTCTTCTGCCGACGTCGTCTCCCTTCTGTGAGCAACACACTTTTTTTTTTTTTTTTTAACATGCCGGAGATAAATATAAGTCAATGTATTATGTGATCTGACAGTCAGGTCTGGCTGCGCGTAGCTTGGCAATGTGTGCGGTGCGCCGAATGTAGTCTAAATGCAAAACAGTGAAGAGTGTTAAAAGGGAGCGATGTTATTTCAGCTGAGGCAGTACGTCTGTCAGATATGTCATCAAGGGTCATGTGATTAATTCAGACTTGGCTGAGCCCACTGTTTGATTAATATTCAAGCACGGTGGCTCAGTGGTTAGCACTGTCACCTAATAGCAGGAAGGTCGCTGGTTCAAGTCCTGGCTGGGTCAGTTGGCATTTCTCTGTGGAGAATACATGTTTTCCCTGTGTTCACATGGGTTTCCTCTGGGTGCTCCGGTTTCCCCCACAGTCCAAAGACATGTAGTATAGGTGAATTGAATAAACTAAATTGGCCATAGTGTATGAGCAGAGCTGGAGCAAGCTGAACTGCCGCTTTAGGCAAAGGACGATCACGCCGCCCTCAACCCTAAAGTGAAAGTGGGGCGAGGTATAACTGAGGGCGCGGATGGTGAGGGTAGTGTCGCGGACGCCGCCCTCGCTATTTTGCCGCCCCAGACGCGGATATAACTGAGGGCGCGGTGGTGAGGGAAGTGTCGCGGACGCCACCCTCTCTATTCTGCCGCCCTAGAAGCAGATATAACTGAGGGCGCGGGTAGTGAGGGAATTGTTGCCGACATTGCCCTCTCTATTCTGCCGCCCTAGACGCGGATTTAACTGAGGGCGCTGGTGGTGAGGGTAGTGTCGCGGACGCTGCCCTTTCTATTCTGCTGCCCTAGATGTGGATATAACTGAGGGCGTGGGTGGTGAGGGAAGTGTCGCGGACGCTGCCCTCTTTATTCTGCTGCCCTAGATGTGGATATAACTGAGGGCGTGGGTGGTGAGGGTAGTGTCGCGGACGCTGCCCTCTTTATTCTGCTGCCCTAGATGTGGATATAACTGAGGGCGTGGGTGCTGAGGGTAGTGTCGCGGACGCCACCCTCTCTATTCTGCTGCCCTAGATGTGCATATAACTGAGGGCGCGGGTGGTGAGGGTAGTGTCGCGGACGCCACCCTCTCTATTCTGCTGCCCTAGATGTGGATATAACTGAGGGCGTGGGTGGTGAGGGTAATGTCGCGGACGCCACCCTCTCTATTCTGCTGCCCTAGATGTGGATATAACTGAGGGCGCGGGTGGTGAGGGTAGTGTCGCGGACGCTGCCCTCTCTATTCTGCTGCCCTAGATGTGGATATAACTGAGGGCGCGGGTGGTGAGGGAAGTGTCGCGGACGCAGCCCTCTCTATTCTGCTGCCCTAGACGCGGATATAACTGAGGACGCGGGTGGTGAGGGTAGTGTGGCAGACGCCACCCTCTCTATTCTGCCGCCCTAAACGCGGATATAGCTGGGGGCGCGGGTGGTGAGGGTAGTGTTGCAGACGCTGCTCTCTCTATTCTGCTACCCTAGACGCGGATATAACTGAGGGTGCGGGTGGTGAGGGAAGTGTTGCGGACGCCGCCCTTTCTATTCTGCCGCCCTAGGCAGCTGCCTAGGTCGCCTCTATGGCCCTGTGTATGAGTGTGTGTATAAATGAGTGTGTATTGGTGTTTCCCCTGTACTGGGTTGCAGCTGGAAGGGCAAACGTATGTCTAAAACATTTGCTGGAATAGTTGGCGGTTCATTTTAAAAATGTCTAGGCATGCATTGTCTGATCTGAAAATCAAAATCCACACGTTTGACCTGAACACGTTTCCATGCCAATATCCAGTTACAATCATAGCCACGTATTGGCAACAGAAAATGACTTATTTTACAGTCTAACAAACACCTCCTAAAAATCTGATCATATCAGCACCAAATTTGGGATGTGTTACCTGAAAGCTCTAGGGATTATATTTTGTGTAAACTAAAGTTTTTGTCTAAAGGCGTGTCCATGGTGGCCTGACAATAAAACTCTGTGTTTCGCCATGGTAAAGCGAGCTGTTTTAGCTCAGGCTTACTATGTCCAGTCTGCCCCAAATACCACAACTTTGATTATAGTACTATACTGAAGACATTTACATGTGAAAATCCACTCAGTCATAGCGCCACCTGCTGACAGAAGTATGAACGACACGAAATCTAACATTAGCCCCTTTCACACATACAGACCTTTCCGGAAAATTGAAAGGTTGTATGTGTGAACAGGTCCTTTTTGAAAATACCAGTAAAATCGTTCTGGCTATTTTCCGGAAAGAGAAGTTGTAACATTACCGGTAATTTGCCGGAATGCTGCGCTGTGTGAATGCAGAAGGAAGATTCCCGTAATAAGCGCGTGCACGTCTAGAACGTGCTGACGTGAGACGTCTGCTTTAGCCAATCACAACAGTCAGACGCATTTACGTCCGCGCGGTTTGTTAGGATAAAAGCTTTTGAATATTTTTCCAGACACATTTAGCTGCTAGAAGTTAGTCAGATCACGTTTATATGTTCTTCTTAATGCCAACTGTGTAAATAATCATCGATGAGATGCTTATGATAAGCCGTTGTTTGTTTACCTTCAAGCTTGGCGTGTGCCTGTGAAACAGCCTGTGAGTGCCTGCACACGCACATATTCACAATATTGATCATCCACAGAGTTTGTAATTTAGTAAAATGTTTACAAATACAAGCGCAGCCATTTAAAGCTCATTTGTGGTTAATGATGTCAGAATTTACCGGTATTTTGGAATGGATGTGTGAATGCTCTTTTCCGGAAAATTTCCGTAACGTCCTCGCCTGTGTGAACAGCGCTTTTTTGAAAATACCGGTAAAGTCTTTCCGGAAATTTTCCAGATATTTACCGGAATCACTGTGTGAAAGGGGCTATTGTCTGTTTTTTTATGTTTATCAACTTTATTATTGTCCATTGTTCTCTGTCATCCTAACACAGGGGTGTCCAAACTTGGTCCTGGAGGGCCAGTGTCCTGCATAGTTTAGCTCTAACTTCCTTCAACACACCTGCCTAGAAGTTTCTAGTATACCTAAAAAGAGTTTGATTAGCTGGTTTGGTTGTGTTTAATTGGAGTTGGAACTAAACTATGCAGGACACCGGCGCTCCAGGACCGAGCTTGGACACCCCTGTAAGGCCACCAGGCGGCGATAAGCCCGGGTGCAATGTCCCTTTCATCGCTGCTTGCAGCTTTAATGTATTATTTATCGAGTTTACATTATCTGTATTTGCTGGATTTATGATAGCAACATCTAATTACTGTAACTGCGCTTTTGGGAAGGAGAGGGGAAGGGGGTGTTAAAAGGCTGTAAAAATGTGTAAACTGATGGCACTGTTAAATTATTGAAGAAAAAAAATTTGAATCCTAAAATCCTAAAAAAAAATTCTTAGTTAACCACTAATAACCTTGATTTGTTGCCATTTTGTCAGACAGACATTGCTGTTCTGTCTAAGAGTGTAGTTATTGGCAAGTCCAGCAAAACCAGACATCATCCCGATAGTCTGAAATCTCATTACATGCACAAACAGCGAAAATAAACAACAAGCAACGTCAAACATCTACAATCCTTTAGCCAAACAGTCTTGCCATTCACATTTAGCTGCACCTGTAATAAGGCCCAGTGCATTTAGGTCCACTAAAAGGCTGCTTGGTTCTGTTTCAGGCCTCGTGCCCAGTGAGGAGCCCTGGCAGCGCTGCAGAACGGGATATTTAGGCTGTTAGAGCACCAGGTGAGTAATAAGGCAGAAAAGTCTAGACGTTCATGCCAGAGACTCCTGAAAGGATGTCATTTTGCCTCATGCAAATTTCCGCGTCGATCGCTGGTATCAGCTGAAGCATATTAGTGTTATCGTTGGCAGCGCATAGCAGGCGGAGAAACATATTGAAAATTTTGAAAAGGTCTCGCAAAAAAACTCTTTCGGGATTACCTTACAGATACTTTCCACGGTTGAGAGCCGCTGAATGGGAGCATTGTACGTCGGGCTTCAACCCAGGAAAGTAAACTTTGTCAGGACCTAGTTCATTAGCACCTAGTTTAGTGTTTGAAGCATGTCGTTTAGGGAAACCCCCTGCTCCAGCACGTACACGTATATATGTTCAAGAAGACCCAGACCCTTCAGGGGGATTTCCAGCGCAAATCGTTCCAGAGGCGACAGAACTTGGAGAGATTTAGGCTACTCTGTGCTCTGTACGTCATGTTTACCAGAGAAGACGTGTTTTAAAGCCTTATTATGACCAGTGTTGCCAAGCGCCTTCAGGGAAAAGCGGTTAAAGGGATAGTTCACCCACAAATTAACTTTTCGGCATCATTTACTCTCCCTTCACTTGCTTCAATCCTGTTTGACTTTCTTCTGTTTTATTTTTGAAGCTGAAAATTTGTAACCATGACTTCTGTTTGTTTTTGTTTTTCCTACTTTAAGAGTTCAGATGCAAAAGCCTCTAAATTCCGTATGAAATCTTTCATCTAAATTAGCATTATCATCAAGCTTCTGTGTGTAGGTTCAGTAATTTCACTTTTATGGCAAATATTAAAGAGATAGTTCACCCCAAAGAAGAAAACTGACTATTTACTCACGCATAAGTGGTTCTGAATTTTGAGTTTGAGCTTGAGTTTCTTTCTTCTGCTAAACACAAAAGATATGAGTTCATATGTGAAAACCTGTGCAAAAAAAAAAAAAAAACTGTGTGGTCCTAAATTTCCATAGAAAAATTTTGCTTCCTTTGTTTATGTTGAGCTATTTCACTTTGAAGACCATGAAAAGAACTTAATCTTTGCCATAAAAGTGAAATGACTGAACCTACACACAGCAGCTTGATAAAAATGCTAATTTTAGAAGAATATTTCAGAAGGAATTTAGAGTGTATGGGATTAAAATATCAGATAAATATTATGGTGCAAGACCATTCAAGGCCTTGGACGCAAACATGAGGTTTTTAAAATCTATTTGAAAACTTACACAAAGCCAGTGCAGATTTTTCAAAATAGGGGTTGTGCTTTCTTGCACGGGTCCTGAATTCTAGCTGCTGAATTTAGAACTAATTGTAACTTGTTTTGAGTTTAGATTATCTTCTTAAATGCCTTCTTTTAGGTTTAGTAAAAAAGAAAAATTTATTAAAATATATACAATAAAAGTAATAATACACAGTGTGTGTGTTATTTTGTTTAGCACTTTGGTCAGTTAAATGTGTTTTATAAATAAACTTTACTAGCTTACTAATAAATAAAATCAGTTTTTCCTGAGAATTTGGCTGCATGAAATGTCACTAAATGCGACCTGATGATGTCATGGACTAATTAGCATATTCATGAAATTGTATCAGCCATTTGTTTTCTATTGATTCTGCGTATTAGTAAATCAGCCAAATGCTCAGGAAAACTGATCTAACGCCGGGTCCACTATCGATGTGTGTTTGAACAACATGAAGGAATTAAGTACCCATACAGCCTTGTACAGTGCTCAGCCTATTGAGTACACCCCATTTTGAAAATTAATATTTGTACCCATTTCTTAGTGAATATTGGCAATATTTTGGTGCATACGAATAACACAGGTACATTTATTAAAATAATATTTTTGTCACCAAACATGTTTAGAAATGAAAAGATTATACAATTTAATTCAAGCTAAATATTGCAAAAAATATCAATAAAACCTACAAAATTTCAACTAAATTTATTTATTTTTTTATTTATTTTTGCTTCTCTTGATTTTTCCTATTTTTTTTTAATTCATTCATTCATTGTTTTTCTATAACATAAATTTGGGTGTACTAGTTTTTGGACCGTTATAGTAAGTTATTTTGTTAGAGTAGCTCCAGATTTGTATAGCTTCCTATTAAATATGAATTTAAAAGATCGATTTGTGAGGGGTGCACTTATATATGCTGAGCGCTGTACAGGTCAAGGCCAATCAGATTGAATTTTCTAGTGAGGGTGGAATTAATGCAGGTGAAACTCACTTTTACTTACCTAACCCTAAGCTAACCCAACAGTTTTTACAGATTTAAGTGGTTTGAACACAAAATAGTTAAAATGTCCCCCTAAAAAGCACAATAATTGTGTTGTTTAAGCTCATTTTAAATAAGAAAACAAACAGCAAATGCCATTTTTTGAGTGTATTTAATGTCCTTTTTTTCCTGATGAACCTAAAAGATATTTTAAAAGAAATCTGGAAACCGGCAACCATTAACTTTCAGTCAATGGTTACTGGTTTTCAACATTAATTAAAAAAATATCTTCTTTTGTGTTCAACTGAATAAAAATAAAGGTTTTGAGTCTTAAACTTTGATCAATTTGTTTAAAAAAACAAGACCTAATTTGTTAAAAGCTTAAAGTAAATTCATCTCGATTTAAAATTCAGTTCAGCTGTTTGTACTGAAAACCAAGACCAAAGTAGTAAGCAGGAAGATTGTTTTGTGCGGTGCTGACATTGTTTGTATGTCTTGTTCTTTCCTTTCTCCTCATTTTCCCTTTGCTAACACTCATAGTTTCCTCGGTCTGTCTTTTTGTTTTATGCAACGGAGGCGTCCTGAGCGAGGGATACCCCTCTGTTAGACAGCGCTGAAAAGAAAAGAGAGCTCTGTTTGGCCCAGCGATGAGAGTCCGATTAAAGGGAAGCTTGTTTGCACCTGTTTTCCGACTTCTGAAGAGCAAATGTTTAGAGTTTCCACTTTGACTTTTTCCATTCGGTGATTCGTTTACATTTCGCGTTTCTAACTTTACTCGGACACTGGCTTTGACAGACGTCACAGGCAACCTCGTATTTACGCGTCAATCCTATAATCTGCTTTTAAAACGAGTGTAATTATGTGTATGAGAGCTCTCCTACTGGGTTTAAGTTTCCAAAAGCAATAATTCTCGGACATCAGCTGCGGTGTGGGCAGGTATTGGGATGCATCGTGTCTGTGAATGGAGCTGTAGAAGTTGATGCTTTATTAAGCTCAAATGCTGTGTGTTTTAAAGCTACTTCCAATATAAAATAAGACCGATTTGGGAATGGGAATTACAGAGTGACTAGGCCAAGACTGCAACAGCAAATAACAATATTAATATACACCTACTGGCCACTTTATTAGGTACCTTACTAGTACCTAGTTGGACCCACCTTTGCCTTCAGAACTGCCGTGATCCTTTGTGGTATAGATTTAACAAGGTACTAGAAATAATCCTCAGAGATTTTGGTCCATATTGACATGATAGCATTACACAGATGTGATGCAGATTTGTCAGCTGCACATCCATGATGCGAATCTCCTCTTTCACACATCCCAAAGGTGCTCTATCAGATTGAGATCTGGTGACTGTGGAGGCCATTTGAGTACAGTAATTATATATATATATATATATATATATATATATATATATATATATATATATATATATATATATATATATATATATATATTCAATTATCATCTGTTTTAATAAGTAATTAAAAATAAAATGTTTTTTTTTTTCATGGTTATAGTTTCAATCAGCTACAATAATCTGTTACATGGTTAAATTCTGCTATTCATAAAGTATCATAGCCACTGTTCTTAGGTAGGGCCAAATCAGATTTGTCCTCTAATCCTTCCCAGAATAAGGAACATAGAACAGCTTTGTTAAAAATATCTTTTCCATGACTTGAATCATTCAGCAGGACCTCTGAAATTCTTCCAAAGATCTGCTGAAATAGAGACAATCCTTTTTGTGCACTTCAAAACATGCAAGGTCTCCCAAATCTGAGTGTTATGTTTCATTTAGTTATTTACCAATTGTGGATTAATGGATTAACCACTGATTTCAGCCAAATCTGATGGAAACGTGTCTTAAAATACTCAAAATGACCAATCCATCTTTTTTTTTTGCTATTAAACTAAAAAATGCTGGGTTCCACACCATCGATTTGTGTCAGAGCAAAATAAAGGTAATTCAGCTTACCAGAGGTAAAGGTCACACTTTATAATAAAGTTTCATTCGTTAACATTAATGTATTTACTAACACGAACTGATTCATTTCAAATCCTCTTTATTTCTATAGCTCTTTTACAATGTAGATTGTGTGAAAGCAGCTTCATATTGAATATTATTGTGAGTTGAAACAGTGTCAGTTCAGTTTTCAGAGTTTAAGTCCAGTTCAGTTTAGTTCAGTTCAGTGTGGTTTACTATTCACTGCTGAGAGTTCAAACACTGAAGAGCAAATCCATCGATGCGCAGCTCTACAGATCCCGAAGCCAGTGGCGACAGCGGCTTCACCAATTAGCAAAAGTAAAGGATAAGAAAACCTTGAGAGAAACCAGGCTCAGTTGGGCATGACCATTTCTCCTAGGGCCAAACGTCTTGTGCAGAGCTGCAGACTAGGTGCCGGAACTTAGTATGAACATTACTTCTACAGCATTTATTAATCAAATTCATGCTTTTCAATATTAACAAATTCATGCTTGTTAACCAGTGTTGGGAAAAGTAATGCCTTACAATATTGAGTTACTCCCCAAAAAACTAGTTGCGTTACTTAGTTATTTTTCATGGTAAGTAATGCGTTACGGTACTTTTAAGTTACTTTTGCATAACTTTTTCTGACGTGGTTGAAGCTTGATCTCTTTCAGAACTTGCAGGGATTTTTTTCTTTCTTTTTTAAAACAGAGTTCTGCAATAAACAATACACGGAACAACCTTCATTTACCTTTAAAAAAAACACATGAAAAATTAATGTAGGATAAATTTATTTTCAGAGAACTTCCTGACCCC